AGATCATGGAATGCTACCTGCAGCTACATCCCAGCTGCCCTCAACGTTCCTTGGGCAGTCAGAATTCCAGAAGTACTACATCTCCATATTGCAACAGCTGTATAACCCCTTTCCAACTGCACATTATCAATTAGGCAAATGCCTAAATTTGGTCTCCAGACAGGAAAAGCCTCTTCCTCACTGGGTGTAACCATCCCCCTTCACCCCCCCTCCCATTCACAAGTGTAACTTTTGAGTGAGTGGTAATTTTGTTATACACCTACCCTATCCATAAATATCTGTCCAAATACGGTTATTAGTACTTTGAATTTATTAACCTGAGCAGAAACCTAGTATGAGTTACTTTTTTATTAATCTGCTCAATTTATTGCTCTTGTATTCAACTCAAACACAATGAAAATTTATATATGCCCTCTAGCTTTCCTTTTCCAGGGAACTCTCCCACTCAACTCTCCCATTCTTTGGACCTAATATTTTCGGTCAGAGTTATAAGACAGTTCACTTCCACTAGAGATGTCTAAAAAGTAGATCAGTGGAGTCTTTACCTTTACAGAGAACTTGCATTTGACTTGGCCTCTTAGAGGTAGAGAGATTTATGTACAAGCAGACATGGAAGATAAGGAAACTCAATTTAAAAAGTAATGTTATGCCCTGGCCAGATAGGCTCAGCAGTTAGAGCATCATCCCAGGAACTGAAGGGTCTGGGATTTGATTCTCAGTCAAGAGCATTTGCTTGGGTTGCAGGTTCAATCCTCAGCCCCTGTCAGGGTTTTACAGGAGGCAACCAATTGATGTGTCTCTCACATAAATAACTCCCCCCCCTCCACTCTATCCAAAAAAATCAATGTAAAAATATCCTCTGGTGAAGATTAACAAAAAATAAATGAATAAATAAATAAAGTTAAAAAGCAACATTATAACAGAATTGAGCAGAGGTTCTCAAATTTTAATATGTATTGGAATATGCTGGGGAATCATAAATAACAAATCCAAGACAGTGGTTACCATTGCTGTGGGAACAAGGGAATATGATCAGGGTAGAAAGACTTCAACTATATTTGTAAAACTCTATTTCTTCAGTTCAGTGGTACATACATGAGTGGTCCATACATCAGAAATATTTCATACTATAGTTTCAAAAATAAGTCAGTGTGAGAGGCTATGTAAAACACAGAGTGCCAGGCATCAGTTCTGATTCAGAAGTCTTAGAATGACTCTAAGGAATCTACATTAACAAGCACCCTAGGTAATACTTATACAAGTGCTTCATGGACCACTCTGTAAAACACCGCAATCTATTTTTTTCTCCAACGGGAAAAAGAAAAATCAATAGCACCAGTACATAAAGCCCAGAGCTGGGAATCAGAAGCCCTGAACCATATTCTCTGCTCTGCTTCAATTAGCTACATGAGTCTTTGCTAGTAGGTTAACTTCTTTGAAAACCATTTTCCAAAAAAGAAAGCCACTTTTATAATCCTGTTCAGCATGGTAATGATAAGTTAAATGGTTCCTGGTGAAACTTTGGAGGAGTTTCCAGGAAATGAATGGTTTCCAGAGAAGATAATGTTTTTTTTAAAAATAGCACCCTTTCCTTGAATCAAGTTCTCGGTGATCTGTTTCCAGTGGCAAATTTTCATCTAGCTTGAACCATGTAGCATTTAGACCTTACACAGAGAAAAACACTGGTGCCTGTCTGAGTGTATTTTACACACACACACACACACACACACACACACACACACAAACTCTTTCCAGGATGGTGATTCTCACTTGGGTTGGAAAAAGTGAACACAGGATACACATCAGAGTCACTAGGGAGAGTTTTCAAAACATACAGACTTCTTCCTTTTGTTGTGTATATCAGAGTGAGAAAGAGAACTGAAGAGTTGTGGAGTCCACTCCAGGTGATTCTGATACATTCCCTACTCTAGAAAGATTCTTGGCCTCCCTCAAGTAACCTGATCCAAGATCTTACACTTTTTCCTGCCAAGAAGTTCCTTATATTTATTTCTCACCTATTTCTTCTTTATTTAGCTCTCACTGAATAAAGATAGAGGATTCAAAATTATCATACACACACACACACACACACACACACACACACACACACAGGGGAATGTGAATAATGACCCTGTTCTCAGGGGCTGGGGGCCAGATGGTTAGAAACCTCAGCATCCTTAGGGTTGAAATAATCTCCTGGCCAGATGTTTCCTTCACTGGTTGGGGTAGGGCATGAAGGTCCCAGTGGAAGGCTCTATGAACCCTAGGCTTGTCCAGCTGGATCAGCTGCAGGTGGAGCAAATGGGACCCAAGGGCCCCATCAGGTCACCTTGCTGAGTATGACTCAGTCAAGCAGATCATTATTTCTTCCTGTCTCTTCCACTTCCCACCGCTCATCTCTGTGGGAAGCCACGAGACTGGGGAACAAGAGTCAAGCAAGGGAGGAGATAGTTCTTAATGGATACTCCATCTCTTCAGTGGTTTGAGGTCTGGCAGAGATAAACCAGACCTGAAACAAATTGGCTCCTCCCCCTAATGTATTTCAGTTAATGCACTAGCTGCTGAGAATTAGCCAGGCCTGCAGCAACAAATCAATTCCCCTCAGCTGAACAATAAGTTTAAACTAAACCTCCACAGCTTTTTCTCTCTTGTCTTTTATCCATGGAATTCAAAATTCTAGTCAAGCTTAGCTGTCTGTCACTGTTAGAGCCCATTTCTGAGGGGTCAGACCTGAGTAAAGAGCCTTGGGTAATGGTCGTGTGCCAAGGGACTCCTGGAAAATATGATATATCCAAGCAGTTTCACCATTTCTTCACATCTAATGCAACATTAACAGGCACAAGTCTCTAAAATGGAGGTTGTAATGACTATTATTTGGTTGGTGTTATAGATGTGGAAGCTGTGGAAACTTAGTTATCTGTTCAATATCATTCCCTTGCCCAGGGAAAAGCCTTATAGCAAATCTTGGGTCTTGACTCTTTCCATGACTGCTGTCAAATGACATTTTATTGTTGGACTTTAAAGACCCTAATCTAAGTGTAACTATTGTGACCATATTTATATGAGCAAGAGTCAAAGAGGAATCTAGAATAGCAGAGCATATGAGATGAAAATGGTACTATTTTGACTTCCTCTATATGACACCTGCACTCAGCCAAAGTTCTCCACTCACGTGAGTGCCTAAATCTCCATTATCTACCCACATCTCCCCTCAAAAATTTCCTTTGAGTGGCTACACCTAGGAGGTGGGATCAACTAAAATATGTCATATGGAGAACCATAAGGGTTTGTAAAAGTCTCAGCCAAGCCTAAGATAGTATGGAAGCTGGAAGTAGGAGCCATTGTTAATTCTTGGAGTCTAATGAAGGCTACTGCTACTAAACTTCTGATTCCTACCAGTTAGCACTTCCTCACTGTCTGCCAGAAATTCTTAGAAATGCAAGTAAGGCTAACTTGTCACTCTCAGGTCAGAAAAGAAGATAACTCAGGATGTTAACACCCTTGAGTGGAAGTCTGGAAGAAAAAGAAAGGATATGAATGAACCCAGCTCTCACATGTCCATCTTATCTTAACATTCACTAGACGCTGACTTAGCATATGTACATTCGTTCTACAGTTATTAAATCCTGCTTTGGCACTGGGCTGGGCCCTGGACCTATAAATCTGAGTTTCAAGGACCACCCCTTACCCTTGACAGGTAAGTGAAAGGTTACCTTGCTTAAGGTTCATTTGTGATATCCAGGGAGCCCCTAAAGGGAATTAAGTCGTTGGCTTAGACCAGCCTTAGTAATCGGTTCTATACCATGGGTTTCAAGGGGAAGAATAAAACGATCTAATGATTTTCCATTGTGCCTGGAAAACCATTAGTAGCTAAAGAGTGGACAAATTCAGACATAAAGTAGACTAGAATCTTAATTCAAATTTTAAACTTTTATAGTGAGTCTGAGGAAAGAGACAACCTGAAACCATTACCTTAACTGTGATTCAATAAAAATAATCTGGTGCTTTTCATAAGCAGTCCAGGAAACTATGATAGCTTAGCTCAAGGTGTCTCAACCTTGGCAATATTGACATTGTGGGCCAGATACCTAGCATTTCACTATTAGAAATATATTGCTTTGTTGGAATTTACATTAAACTCTTGTTAGTAATTAGCACTTGTGTGTATGTGTTTATTAGATCACTGTCTTCTGAGGTCAGAGCTTTTAAAGATCAAGTTTATTTTGAAGCAGTAATACTAGAATATATGTGGCTACCCCTGGGAAGTAGACCTAAATAATATTCTTTTTTTTAAACTTTTTTTCTTTATTGATTTTAGAGAGAGAGGAAGTGAGAGGGAGAGACAGATAAAACCATCAATGAGAGAGGAGATTGATTGGCTGACTCTTGCATGCCTCCCACTAGGGATTTGGCCCACAACCTGGGCATATGCCCTGACCAGGAATCAAAACTGTGACCTCTTGGTGCATGGTTTGATGCCCAACCACTGAGCCCCACTGGCCAGGCCTGAATAACACTCTTAAATGGACACCCTAAAAGCAGAAGAAGGTGATGAAAATGGAGGCTAAAAAAAAGAGATATCACCCAGCCAGTATGATTCAATGGACTGAGAGGTCACTGGTTCAATTCCCACTCAGGGCACATGCCCGGGTTGTGGGCTCAATCCACAGTAGGGGGTGGGCAGGAGGCAGCTGAATGATGTTTCTCTCTCACTGATGTTTCTGTCTCTCTCCCTTCCTCTCTCTCTAAAACACATATAAAAACTTAAAAAAAAAAAGATATCAACTGCCTACTAACTAATTCTGCAGTGAATAAAACCCTGATGTAGATTACATTTTGGAGATTCCTAGACTGTTTGAAATGATTTCCTTTTTGTAGCCTTAGAGATGGACATAGGGAAGGGGGGTGAAAGTGGATTTCCCATAAGGTAATGTTTTCCATTCCCTTCCTATCCTCTCCAAAGCTCCCCAATCTACCCAATCCCAGCAACACTGTCTTACCTCCCACGAACTGCGCTGCTCCCATGCAACGTCCCGTCATTCTGGAGATAAGCTCCTCCATGCAGCAGCCCAGGACTGCAGCCAGTGCCACCAGGAGCAGGAGAGCACATCCGGCACCTGTCACCACCGTGCACATCTGCCAGGCAAGGCTTGGGATGGAACTGAAGCTGGCATAGCGCCCACACTCTTCCACCATGATCAGACTGTGCCCCTCTCCCCGTACAGGGTAGTTGCACCTCCGGAATGTGCTGAATGACACTTGCTTCCCCAGCTGGGATCCAAAGAGCCAGTATGGCAGGAAGTAACTGGTAGAACTGGCCACAGCAGTAACAAGGGACAGGAAGGCCCAGAGGGTCCCCACCAGTGTCAGGCTGCTCCTCATGGTCCCAGGTTTCTCTGCAGGTATGAGGAGATGAGTTGGTCAAAGAACCAAATACAGAAACTTATCATGCAGGCTCCATCAGCCTATTTTTTATCTGGCTGGCCAGTTCTGGGGCTTATTTATGTGTCACTTGGACCTTGCTTGTGAATAAAATTATTCTCTTGGGGGCAATTTGGGTCCTTATGGGATTCTGCTTTCCAGAACTTTTTCTATCATTCCTTCCTTCCACCTGATTTAGATTTCTGTGGTCTCTAGGCTGCAATGAAAAAAACAGAACTAAGTTAGTGACTTCTCTTCAAACTCAAATGCAACCTGATTTGACAGCTTTTAACTCTTGACATCCAGCATGAAACAAGTGGCTAAAGGGAAGCCTAAATTAAACCAAGACTGCCCAGAGAGACTGCAGCTTCCAGTGGCATGGCCTTTCTGCCTTGGAGGCCTGGAAGGAGGTGATATCTCTAGAGGGTCAGGAACCAAGTTGTTTTCAGTGAGAAAAGGAAGAAGGAAGACAACTCACAGGGCCTGCTCTTAATACGAGGGAGAAAAGGAAATAAAAGCTCACCATGGAGTTGCAGGATGTGCCCATTTGAACCAGGTAGGATGACCAATAGTGTGTTCATGTTGGCTTTTCACAGGGATACACTAGCTAAGTTGAAATGGGTAGAATAAAATAAGAGGTGCCTAGTCTCACACCCTATGCTTATCTCTGAGTAAGCACCATTCAGTCCCTTTCTCCCAAAATAAAAATGTGAGGCATCTTTCTAACCATTGAGGGTTGTTTAACTCTAGACTGATTACTAAGAAAAGCTGCTACTTCCTTTCCTTAATATAAGCAAGAAAGCTTTTCATCTTTCTGAAATAGATCAGGTACCCTTTGCTAACAACAGGAACATATAGGTAGTTGCAGGGACCTTTCAAGGTGCCTTTAGAACAAGTTTTCTCAGATTCAAGATGCTGAGAGTCTTTTTAGATCTAATCTCCTCAGCCCAGCTCACAAATGGCTTTCACAGATCACTCTGTCAAAAATAAACCACTTTCTTCCCAACTCCATTAATCTGTCATTGCTTACTGGCCTGTTTCTCAATTAGGGAAGCCAGAGACCACACTGCAGCTTGCTGATAGTGCTGCGAATGTCTCCAACAGGCAAATGGTGGAGTATGTTTCAGAAGATTCTCCATGTTTCATCATTACTATTTAAAGTACAGGTGGTAGGAGAGGGGTTCAAGAGTGGGTGACTCAAGGCAAGAAAAATACAGGATCTGGCTCTACAGAGCCAATCGGTGATAGTCAGGAGCAAGCAGCAATTGTACTCAGGGTCTCAGGAATTTTGCCCACCCATAACCTCTTTCACAACTACCATCATACTGTGCCTGGGACAGAGTAGGCACTCCAAGTCATGTTTATTTAATGAAACTCATTTCATAAAAGCATCCAGTTTCCAGACTGGCAGGGACATTAATGGATCGCTTAATTCAACCTTCTTGTTTTAAATATGAGGGAGTATGACCAGGTGAAATAAATTAGCAAGTATCACCACCAAAATAAACCTGATCTGCAAAGTCATAGGCCAGTACTTTTCTATCCCACCTCCATCACTTACAGATGCGATTACAGAAAGGAAGTGATTTACTCAAGGGTAAAGGGCTAGTGATATACACAGGCCAGACCACAGCCCAGTTATTTGAGTCTTAGTATAATGCTCTGTTTTCATTCCACTGCAATTCCTCTTCTGATAAATATGTATTGTGTTATGTGTTTTGTGTTGGAAGGGAGCAAAGATCATAAATTGCAGGTGCTTACTTTGGAATGTTAAGGATTGGGAAGAAAGTGCCCTGAGCTGGGCCCCTGGGAATGAGGCTTTGTGCCTGGGAGCAGGGTAAGAGAAAGATGTGAGGGATTGAAAGTCAACAGGAGGAGAAGTGAAACTCATTATGAGTAATTGCTGTTAGAAAGCAAGTATGCTTGGTCACAATGAGGTAATGCCTCTTGTTATAATAGAGTTAGTAAGATTATGAAAAGTGCAAGAAGCCCTCTATTATGGACTCACTTCCTCCTGGTGAAGAAGCCCAAGCCAAGAGAATGAGAGGGAACAAGATGATAAACATCTGTGGCTGCATCATTATAGTCCCTTCCAAGTCCATTATTTCATGTTCTCTGCCTAACAATCTCCTTAGGTTGGTAAGAAAGGTATTAACCCCAATTTACAAATGAGCAAATTCAGAAAGCTAAGTGACTTGCCCAAGATTACCCAGTGATTCAAAGGCAGAGACATCATTTTCCACTTCTCCTTCACCTGCAACCTCCCCCCATATTCTCCCTCATGACCCCAAAAGTGTTGCAATGAAAAGCTTTTATGGTCTCCCACGCAATATGTTTTTTAAATGTTTAAGGATGGGAAAAGAATTACAGGGGAAGACAAGGATGGTAGGAAGAAGGCCACCTTCTCTAAGCAGTGTGTAAACCAACAGAACAAGAACAAAAGTTGTTAAAAGCTCAGAAATTGTAGTCAGAACTAACCCCACATGTCCCTCATGAATGTAATCACCTTGAGATAAAAAGTCCCAGTATGACAACCAATAGAAGGGCAGGAATGTAATGAAGAGAAAGGAATTGTATCAGTGAATAGTACTTAGACTATACTAGAAATAAGAGGAGGGGATTTGACATAAGTTAATCATCATTTGTGACAAATGAAGCTGTTTAAAAATGACAATACTCTATTGATACTTTACCTATTGGATAAAAAAGATGTAATCCACACACACACTCACACACACACACACACACACACATACCCACACATATGCAATGAAATATTATTCAGCAGTAAAAAAAATGAAATCATGCTCAGTCAGTGTGGCTCAGTGGTTGAGCATCAACCCATGCACCAAGAGGTCACCAGTTCAATTCCCAGTTAGGGCACATGCCCAGGTTGTGGGCTAAATCTCCAGTGGGGGGCATGCAGAAGGCAGCTAATCCATGTTCTCTCTCATCGATGTTTCCATCTCTCTCTCCTTCTCCCTTCCTCTCTTTCTAAAATCAAAGAAAAAAATTTTTTAAAGAATGAAATCTTGCCATTTGTAACAACATGGATGGACTTTGAGGGAATTATGCTAAGTGAAATAAATTGGACAGAGAAAGACAAATACCATATGATTTTACTTATATGTACTTAAAAAAAAAAAAACAGAGTCACAGATATAGAGAAGAAAGCAATGGTTGCCACAGGGGTGGGGGTGGGGAGATGGGTGAAAAAGGTGAAGGGAAATAAAAAGTACAAACTTGTAGTTATAGGGATGCAATGTACAGCATAGGTAATATAGTCAATAATATCATAATAACTTTGTACATTGACAGATGGTTACTACACATATTGTGATGATTACATTATAAGGTATATAAATGTAGAATCAATATGTTGTACACCTGAAACTAATACAATATTGTATGTCAAAAATATTTTAATAAAAATATTACAACACTATCAACTGCTGTCACTGTAATTTTATTTTTAAATGGTATTTTAAAGCCAGGATTTGGGAAGGCAAAAATCACAAGATTTCATTTAAATTAAATACATTTAACTTCAGAAAGACTCATTGGCTTTCAAATTTTAAATTAAATACTTTCAACATCAGGAAAATCTCATTGTCTTTATTTCATTTAGGACTAGGGTGACCAACCATGCCAGTTTGCCTGGGACTAAGGAGTTTCCTGGGATGTGGAACGTTCAGTAATAAAACTAGGAATTTCCCAAACTTGGATGAATTAGTCACCCTATTTAGAACTAGAGGGGTGGTTAACTAGCACCATCCATGGACAGCAGGTTGAAAATCACTGCCACACTGAGTGGATAAAAAAGTTGTGGTACATATACACAGTGGAATGCCAGGTAGCTGCAAGAAAGAAAGATCTCTTACCCTTTCAGATGACATAGAGGGACCTGGAGAGTATTATGCTAGGCAAAATAAGCCAGTCAGAGAAAGACAAGTACTATATGATCTCACTTATTTATGGAATATAATGAACAAAATAAGCTGATGATCAAAATAGATTCAGAGACATGGAAGCAAGAAACAGACTGACAAACCTCTGATAGAAAGGGGGAGGGATGGTGAGAAGAGTTAAACCAAAGAATTTATATGCATATATGCATAACCATTGGACACAGACAATAGTGTGGGGAAGGCAGGAGGGGGGTGGGAGCAGGGAGGAGGGTGTCAATGGGGGAAAATGGGGAGACATTTGTAATACTTTTAACAATAAAGATTAAAAATAAGAAAATCACTGCCACAGATAATTTGCTAATGTTCTCTCTGCAGGACTCAAACAATATAAAGTTAAAAGTGACCATAGAATTAAACAATGGAAGTATAAAGCATATATATATATATATATATATATATATATATATATATCCTTACCCGAGGACATTTTTTCATTTTTTGTTCAGATAGAGTGGGAGGGAGAGAGATAGAGAGAAACATTGACACATTGACATGAAAGGGACACATCGAGTGGCTGCCTCCCACACAACCCATCCAGGGCCTGGGAGAAACTGCAACCAAGGTACATGCCCTTAGCGGTAACTGAACCCGGATCTCTCTGGACCGCAGGCCAATGCTCTAACCATTGAGCCAAACCGGCCAGGGCTTATATATTTTTAATGTAAATCTTTGTGAATCAATGACTTGATCTCATGCAGCCAAGAAAAAGATCTCAGAGATCCAATGGCACAAACTAACTTGCAGCCCAGCTTTTTCTATGGCTGGAAAGAGAGCCAAGGGGCTATGAGGAGTCTGTGCATACACATTGTTACATGTCCACAGGTGTCGGACAGAAAAGTGCATTCAAGTAAATCCTTCTAGTTCCTGCATCATCTGCAATGGAGTAATTTCCCTTTGTCCCTCCAAAGAAATCCAAAGTCATTCCCAGGAACTAGCCAAATCTTGCACTCACATAAATAAAAATCGCACATAATGCTATATTTCATTCTATCTTTATTTTTCTTGTA